GCTGTTCCGCTGAGCTAAATCCCCAGCCCCTATTCACTTTATTTTTTTATTTTTTTTTATTTGTTTATTTACCCTATTCACTTTAATTTAAAGCATTATTGAAAACTTAAATAGTTTTATCCTCTTCCCACCTTAAACATTTAACAGAACTGGAAGGAGTGGCATAGTAGGGACAGTTTTACAGTGACTGGTTGCAGACACAGAGAAATTGCCCAGTGCCGGTGGCTTCCCTGACGAGCTCAGCATTCGTATTGTCAGGGCCCGGTTCCAACTTGTGATTTGAAGGAGGGCTGATCTCTTAGCTTTAGTATTCAAAACCTAAAGCTAAGTATGTCATAGAAATTGAGAAAAAATTAAGATCCAAAAAAAGAAAGGCAATGAAGATACAAAGAATATTAATAAAAGATGTTAGGGCTGGTAAATGCATAGAGAAAAGGTTAAGCCTGCTATTAATACTAATAAAATATGCCATCATCATAGGAAGGAGAGGAAGGAAGAAACTCGCAATCTGACAGTATAACTTAGAGGATCCCTTACAAAAATCTGATCATAAAATGGGTTTTTCTATGGCTCTAGGAAATTATACTGAGAAAGTAATCCCAAAGGAAAGCCTCCCTGAGGACTGGACCACTGCAGAAACCTTGTAAATTATCTTCTGGTTCCCCTTTGCCCCTCCTTCTAGCAGATGCAGGGTCCGCTTCCATCAAGATCCCAGCTCCTCAGTTTCCAGGTAAAAGCCACAACCTTACCGTGGTCATGGCCGGCCTGGTCTTCCTGCCACCACACCACTCAATCTGCCGCCTGTCCGCCAGCCACGTGGGCCCTGCCATTCCCAAGACAAGGCAGCACATGGCTTGGTCTTTGGTACTCCTCCTGGAGACCCCGGGGGCCCTTCCCGCTTCGCTTCACCACTGTGGGACTGCCGTCCTCAGCAAGGCCTGCCCTGCCAGACTCCATCTCAGATTTCTGCTCCTTGCCCAGTCCCGAGCCCAGCCTGCATTCTCAGGGCTCCTGTGTCCTCTTGTGCCTTTCTACAAAGCATGTAAATTACTTATTATGAGGTGGGATCCAAATATCTGGGGACTGCTGAACCTAGAAAAATATTACAGTAAAAGCCACACTGCCATGAATCTAAAATCCTCCCTCTCACTTTGAACACACATCCCTTGGTTCTTGTCACTTTCTGAAGCAGCTCTGGAGTCCCCTTTCTTGAGGGTCGTTACCACATGTGATCAAACATGGTGAACACTGTTGCCAATGCCATCCGCCGGAAAGGCAGCTCGTACAATCATGACGCTGTGTCGGCGTCCAATTATTCACTGAATCTGGCACCTTGCGACTTCTGGCTCTCCCCGGAGTCCAAATGGCAGTGAAAGGAAATGTTTTAAATCAATTCAGGACTTCGGCCCGCCAGGACAGTGCAAGTAACAGCACTGTGTGCCATTTTCAGGATGGCTCTGGACAGAGAACTCCCCATCAGCCCTTTGCAACCAGGGACCTTCCCAGGGAACAGCCTCCGATACCAGGCTCTGTGCATGGGCGGAGGAAGCAGCAGTGTCGTTCCTCTCAGTGAACCAGGATCCCTTCCGGGTCCTGGATTTCGGGGCCAGCTGACAGCTGTGGGGTGGGAACGGGCATCAGGACAGCTTGATACTTCTTGACTAAAAGAACAGCTGTGCTATCTGTCCTTGCCACCCTGGGCTCCAGCTCCTATATCCAAGGGGAAGAAGCCAGAGTGGAGCTAGGTCTCACTGTCATCTAAGCAGCCAGAGTCAGGTGAGCCACAGCGGCCCCGTCTGTGGCCGAGACCCCTCCTATCTCCTGTGGCAACCACGGCACCTCCCCGGCCCCCGCCTGTCCAAGCAGGTCCTTCATAGCTGGCACACTTCTTCCTAGGTGGTCACATTCAAGGAGAGGTTTCTCTTTCACCGGGTTTCAGGGGGATGTGAGCCCAGGTGTGGGCCGGGGCAGAGTCCAATTAGTATGGGTTTAACTAGCTAAGGCATCTATGGAGTTTGCTAACTTAGAAATAAAAATATATCCTCGCCAAGTATAGTAAAGTTGCTATGTGAAACCAAAGCCACATTTAGCACTAAGTTTTGTATGACTTATTCCTATTATTTTTCCAATAGGAAGAATGGTAATATTCTATGTATGGGTCTGCTACACAGGTGGACACCTGATTATCTTTCTCCTCTTCTTAGAGGAAGATGATTAAAAAGGAACATTAAGAGGGAAAAGTTCTCAGGACAAGCTATCCCTTGATGATGTAGGGTAAATGGGCTTGTAATTTAACGTGTAAGACTCAGAAGGGGAAGGGACAAGATGCTCACAGCTGCACTCAAGGACTTGCGGCTTAGATGTTCCCGGCTTCCCAGCAATCCACACTTTGAGCAGCATCCTCTATGTTGCTGGGGATGAGACCCCAAGGCAGACACTGACCACACGGGACAGAGTGCAGAGGGCAGGATGGCACAGCCTCGCTGCACTCACATTTGCTTCCCTGTTTAGTAAGGGGGTCATAGTAAGATACGCGAGCCACAGCCTTGACCTAGCCCAACGCAAGGAATAAACCAAGTGCTGTCAACGAGCACGTAAAGTGCTAGGAGTGCACACGATCGTCGATGAGGAATGGATCTCAGGAAATTCAGCATGTTCCTTGTGTAGATGACAGAGCGACACTAACTACTTCAGGTATGACTGTAAAAAATGAGTAAGAGCTCTTAAAATTTCCAGACATTTGTAATGATAGCAAATTTGAGGAAAATCAACCTTGGGTAGTGATTTTTCACACTCAGGGGAACTGGCTGTGGGTACTGCCTAAAAAACACCCTCTTGGATTGATTTGGGGTTTTAACCCATTTTAAGCAGCTTTAACAATGATTTTTGATTTTTCCTCAGTGGTTTTCCTTTAGAAGTATTCACTGCAAAGTGCACTCAGCTTCACTGTTCCATGGGCTTGGGACAGCAAGGACTAAATGAACTAGTTTGAAAGCCATTCTGGACAGCATGGAGCCCTGCCCGGTGAAATGTGGGGTAACAACGGAAATGATGAGGGCTGGAGCTCGATCCCCAGCTCTGCCAGAGAATAATAATTAGTCATAGCAATCATAATACAGCAATGTGGTGATATTTAAAGAAAATCTTGCTGGGTATGGTGGTGCACGCCTGTAATTCCAGCACTCAGGAGGCTGAGGCAGGAGGATTGCTATGAGTCCGAGGCCAGCCTGGGCTACAGAGTGAGTTCAAGGCTAGCCTGAATTATATAGCAAAACCTTATCTCAAAAAGACCAAAAAGAAAAAAAAAAATTTAAGAAGAAAATTTAAGATTCACAACCACACATGTATTAAACAAGAAATCACGTGCTGCGAGACATTTGTGTGGCTGTGGCTACTGGAGTGGATTCGCCTCCCCAGGAAGGCTCACGCACTAGGTAGCACCTGAGCACCCATAGGACGAGGGCAGCAGATACCAGGTGTGAGTCGCACATGCAGCCTTTCTCTTCCATCTCTCAAGGGGCAAATAAGCCAACGGCCCAAGTCCACTGATCTGTCCCTTGAGAACCTCACTTCTCTTCTGTGTCCATTACCTTTCTTTCAGTTTTATTTTCACAATATTAAAACTCAATATGTTAATGAGATTAAACACATTCTGTTGTCCCTGCAGACTCCTGACTATCTCCTGCGAGGGTTCACACACCCCAGAGACCTTTTGAGACAGCATCAGCCTCTACTTCCAGGCTGCTCATGACACCCCTGTCCCTGTCCCCCTCTGAGAGGTCGGAATGCTGTAAGCTCTGCCTCCGTCCCGGGAGAAATGGCACACACAGCAGGTAGGAAAACCGCATGGTGAGAGCTCTCGGTGTGGCTCTGGGATTTAGTAGCCCTGTGAGCTGGGGCAGGTTTCAGAACTCCTCAATGTCTGCCTTACAGGACACCCAACAAAGCTGACGGTGTCTGATGGGACACAGTCCACGGAAAGTCTCATCACAACAGGGCTTTGTGTATCACCAGACGCGTCAGTAAATGAAATGCCCATAAGGGTGACAGAAAGCAAAGGGAGAACAGCCGTGGGGAACAGCCACGCAGGGTGTGAGAGGGGAGGTATATGCCCAGCATGGCATAGCTCAATCTGCTGCTTATTTTCAAGGCCACAGGGCTCAAGGCCACAGGGCCACGGAAGGCATCTGAGAAAAGTGTGACAAGGCGAGATGTATGCTTTGGATGATGAGTTGCGAAGTGTGCGGGACACATGGAGGAAGCAAAGCCCACACAGGGCCTCCACGGTGAGGAGGCGAGGGAGGAGCCTGCAGTTGAGTGGCAAGGGGAGGGGAGGGCTGGGCAGAGAGGCAGGGAGCAGAGGCAGGAGGCTGTCACGGGGTCCCTGCAAAGCTGAGTACAGGTGCAGAGGAGAGGGAAGGACCACAAAGAAAGCAACACATAGGCGATCTTGACGAGTAAGGGGGCTCAATACAAGTTCTGGGGGGAGCAAGCAGATGGCTGCTTCTCTTGCTTAAGCAGCAGGGAAGAAGGGCTGAGCCCTGGACACGAGGGTCAAAGCACTGAGATGCCCGATAGGCAGAGTTTGAGTCCTTCTGAAGAGTCACAAGTTGTCACCTTAAAGGTGAGAACTAAAAGTAGGAGATGGAATGCGACCCAAAGAGAGATTTGGAATGCCAAAGTAATACAACAGAAAGCAGCCTCAGGAACAGAACATGTTTACCCAGACGCTATTCAGAGGGCAGAAGGTGGCTAAAGAAAGCCTTTACCAGCAGTAGAACCGAAAAGAGATACGATGGTATAAATACAGGAACAATGGTATCTCACATTTTATTAATTTATTAAACTTGCAATTTTAACCTATAGATACACTAGCTAATGAAGTAATTGGGTTCCTTCAGATATGAACATTAGAACTGGTTCAAAATGCAATGCTTCTCAACTTCTGCTATGAAATGCAATCAAACCTTCCCCTCATCTCAATAAACCACCACAGGAGACAAATTCAAAACTTGGGATGTTTATTTACATATTGCGCATCTCAAAAGCTTGAAAACAATGATGCTTGAGCAAGAAGGCAGCAAACACCCTGCAGCCCTGCCTGTCTCAATCACTGAAGAAAAAGGGGTCTTGGAGGGTGTTGGAGGGTCTCCGAGGGTGAAATCTTGACGGCCGGCTTCAAATGTCCGGGTCATTTGCCAAGGAAGTGCCACACTTGCTCTGTGTCGAAAGCGGGGGAAAAGGATGTTAGAGAAAGGTTGGAAAGCCCGGGACAAACAAGAGCGATTCAGTTTGGACCTTTAGGAAGTATCCAGGCGGGTAAGAGTCGTAACCTTAGCAGGCCATCGTCATCCTTCTCAATGGAAAGCTACTTCCCTCTAAATTCCGGTCCTTAGTTGTTTCATTTTGCTCAAGCTTTATATACAACTATATGAACATTTCTAGAATCTTCTCATTTTGCTCCTGATACCTCTGGGGGCCATTTTAGTTTCTAATGAACAGTACAGAGGTTAGGACACTGGCTGCAGTGTGGAAGGTCTAAGGAACCTTTTCCTGTAAGAATTATCTGCCGAACACTGGAAACGAGATGCTACTGCAAACGAACACTCCAACAGCAGCTGGCCGCAAAGAAACACAGCTTGTTTTCCCATGAACTCATGTCTAGGGATTTGCTCCTTTCTCAGTGTCTTGCAACTGGACCCCTAGTGAAAAGCTCTCATTTTCCCTCCACATTTGTACTCTGAATAGTCGTCTAAGCCAATACTTTCACTATTCTAAAAGAAAAATGACGTGTAAACATGCTTGCATTCTGAAATTCTATCACAGAACATTTTTCCTTATTTCTCAAGACAGGTTCAAATAATGAAATTAAAAATGAGGCATTTGTTTTTAAACTTAGTATAAATTTTGCCTATAATATCATCAGTTAAAATGAGTGATTCACAATCTAATGAAGGGTGTAAAAGACCTCTATATTGAAAACTACGTACTCTGAAAAAGGAGATTGAAGCACATATCAGGAAATGGAAAGATACCCCTTGCTCTTGGTTAGGAAGAACTAATATAGTGAAAATGGCCATACTTCCCAAACTGTTATACAGATTTAATCCAATTCTGATCAAAATTCCAATAGCCTATCTCACAGAATTACAGAATACAATACTAAAATTCAATTGGAACCAAAAGAGACCTAGAATACCAAGGCAATTCTGGGCAACAAAGGCAATGCAGGGGGCATCACAATCCCTTACTTGAAATTATACTATAAAGCTACTGTGGTAAAAACAGCATGGTACTGGGAAAAAAAAAAAGATACAAAGATCAATGGAACTGATGAAAAGATGCAGAAACAACTCCAGACATACTCAACCACCTTACTTTGACAAAGGCACCAAACATATTCACTGGAAGAAAGATAGCATCTTTAATAAATGGTGCTGGAAAAACTGGCTCTGCACATACCTAAGATTAAAATTGGACCCATATATTTCAGTAAAGTAAATTCATGCACTAAACTAAATTTGAAATGGATCAAAGATCTAAATATTAAAACAGAAACATTAAATCTGCTGGAAGACAGAATAGGTTTAAACTCTTAGAAACATTGGTGTAGGCAAAGACTTTATGAATAAAACCCTGATTGCACAGGAACTATCATAAAAAATAAACAACTGGGATCTCATCTTATTAGAAAGCTTTGCCCAGGAAGAGAAACCACCAACAGAGTGAAGAGACAACCTACAATGTGGGAAAAAGTGTTTGCCAGCTGTTCCTCAGACAAAGGATTACTATGGAGAACATATAAAGAACTCAAAGAAATCAGACCTCCCAAATTTAAAGACCCAAGCCAAAAATAGGCATCTGAGATGAATATACACTTCTCAGATAAAGAAATAAATATATGAAACAGTAAATAAATGCACAAAAAAAATGTTCAACATCACTGGTCATTTGAGAGATGTAAATTAAAACAACACTGAGATTCCATCTCTTCGTGGAAAGAATAGCTAATATCAAGAAATCAATGAATAACAAATGCTGGAGGGCCTGTGGGGAAAAAGGAACCCTTTTCCACTGTTGGTTGGAGTGTAGACTTGTGCAACCACTGTGGAAATTAGTGTGGAGATTTCTCAAAAAGCTAGGATTGGAGGTTCAACTTGACCCAACTATTCCACTTCTGGGCATCTTCCCAGAAGAATTAAAAACATCATATTACAGCAATATATGTGCACCCATGTTTACAGCAGCACAATTTGTAATAGCTAGATTTTAGAAACAACCTAAATGCTCATCAACCAAGGAATAGACAAAAAAGAGGTGGTCTTTTTATACAATGGAGTACTACTCAGCCATAAAAAGGATAAACTGTAGACTTTCATAGGTAAATGGATGCAACTTG